AAATCAGATCTGACTGATACAGGAGGAGATTGCCCCTCCTTCTCCAGCAGATCATCTGGCAGATTCGAACCGCGTACCTCTGTTGCAGTGCAGCTTCTTGCCACTAGGCCACCAGAGCTCACCTCTAGTTTGCATCTTAAAAATATTTCTTTTTAGAGCATGCTTTATAGGTGGGAAGAATGGATGTAAGGAGGCAGTCAAGGAGCCTATTGTGGGAATCTGCTGGAGAGGAGACGTTACTTGGGTTTAATGCACTGGTAATAGAGATGGGAAGAAGTGGCTGAATTAAAAACATAGTTAAATGTATCAAATATAGTGAGCTCGGTATTCGATTGGAGTGGTGACAATATATTTGAATCTTTTCTTTTTTACTTTTCACCTTTGGTTACCACATCAAATCAAAGATACATTATGTTCTCATTTCTACTACTACTAATGACCAAAAATTAAATCACCTTTTGATGAACAAGAAATGTCATTCTAAGTTCCACGCATGCGACCTCCTTCACTGCGTACTATGATGCTGAGAGGTGGGCGTAGATACTGTTCTTATGCTAAAGGAATGAGGTACAGAGAGGAGAAGTAACCTTCCAAGGTTTGAACTAGGTCACCTGCAGCAAGTGGGGAAGCTAGGCTTGGAATCCAGCTGGTTGGCTTAGTGAGAAGGCTGTGTTCTTCTCACCCACCATGGCCTGTCCGGTCCCACCGTCCGTCAAGGATAGATGGCTGCAGCTTCTCACTCAGGTTCTCACATCACCAGTCTCTCTGCCAGTCTGTTTTCTATGAACTGATGCCCACACATCTCCCTGTAACTCAGTTTCCATTTTCTTCTGACCTTGAACCACCACTTTTACCTTTTTGATAAAACTCTCAGTCTCAGATTTCAGGCTCTATACTCTGACTCGCTGTACCAATCCATCTGTCTTCTTACTTTTTCTTTGCAGAACTAAAAAACCACACAAATATTTGCATGTATATCAGTTTTTCCTTTATAATTTTATTTCAGGATTAGTTTGGGAGATCTGGTGGCCTAGTGGTAAGTAGCTGTGATGCCAACCTAAAGGCGCACAGTTCTAATCCACCAGCTGCTCTACAGGAGAAAGTTGGGCAGTCAACTGTTTACTGCCTTTGAAAGCCCACCAGAGGGGTCAGCTTTGAGTAGGTTTCTATCTGATGGCAAATAATGATACAACAACAACAAGGACTATTTTATTTTAAAGTTATTTCTTTTCCTTTTTTGATATCACTAAAAGCACATACAGCAGGACATACACCAGTTCAACAGTTTCTACATAGCCAAGTTCAGGGACTTTAATCACACTCTTCAAGCTATGCAAACATTCTCTCATTCTCTAAATTATTTCCCCTGTTAACATGATTTCACTGCCTGCTAAATTTCCTATCTAACATTTCCAGCTTGATCCCATCTGGATAGTTCTTTAAAAGAGTGTAATACTCAAGGCAGATATTCTTCACTAATTAAGCTAAACTGTTCAGTTTCAAGAAGACGTCGGGCAGGATAGATTTGTCCTCTATATTTTTGGATCTTTTTTTTTTTTTCATGGTAAATTGTATGCGCAGAAGAATACTTGCCAACCCAACAGTTTTTAGACGTACAATTTGGGAACATTGATGACATCCATTGTATTATGTGATTATCACCCTTATTCTGAATGGAAATGATTTTAAATATTTACATAATGCACTGGTCTGCAGTTGTTTGAGTTAAACGTTGTGATGAGGTAATGAATGAACGCTACTCTTTGCTTTGGAATCGTGTCATAAAGCAATGCCAGTCTTCCTATTTCTATTGTGAGATTCTTTCCTCTGAGGTAAGAGGTGTTTGTGACTTTAACAACACATGACATAGCAAAGAGTGTCTAGAGAGGGGCGATTCTGAACAGTTGGAAAGAAGCCCCTTACTGCTCACTTCCTGTGACTGAGGAGTCCTGGTGGCACAGTGGTTAAGTAGTCAAATGCTAAGAAGTGCACTGTTCAAATCCACCAGCTACTTTGAGAGAGAAAGATGTCTGCTTCCGTAAAGATCACAGAGTAGGAAACCCTACCAGGCAGTCCTACTCTCACCTGTGGGGTCATAGTGAGTCAGAATCTTCTGGACTGACAACAACACCTGAATCTACACCAAATATGGGGTCTAGGAGGCACTGCTGTGCATCCACTCCATGGGAAAAGCCTTCCCAATGCCCCTGTGAGGCCCAAAGGTTGAAGCAAAGTGCGGGCAGAGTGGCCCGAGATGTATGTGGAGAGTTCAGAGCCTGTGCCGTGGACGAGGGGAACAGGTGTTGAAGGACTTTGCAGGATTATCAAAGAATGTGGTGAAGTGGATTCTTCCAGTCCTGGGTGTTTGAAAAGAAAACCTTTTAGGTGATTTAGCATTTGCTGATTCGGAGGCCATTAGTGGCAGTAAGAAGTCATTGAACTGTTTGAAAAGTTACACACACAGTAATTCACATCACACAGAAACGTCCTGTACGTTGAAGGAGGAAGCACGCATCACATGGGGGCTTACAGCTAGGATGGCCATAATATTTATCATCCAGACTGGTGCAGTGAAAACCCACTGCCGTAAAATTGGTTTTGGTTTATAAGAACCCTCCATGACAGAGTAAAAGTGTCCCATAAGGTTTCTGAAGAGCTCTGGTAGCCAAGTAGGTAAGGAGTTACACTGCCAACCTAAAGGTGGGTGGTTCAAAGCCACCAGTTTACTCCAAGGGGAAAAGATGGTCAGTCTCATTCTATGTAGTTTACAGCACCTAAAAACTCATTGAAGGGTTTTGACTCTACAGCAATGAATTTGAGTATTTTTTTTTTTTTTTAGTTTTAAAATCCTTATGGGAGAGTTAATTCAATGCCCTGGAGTCTGAACCACCTCGTAGCGGACCGTTCAGTGGGTTTCTGAGGCTGAAAAATCACACCTGAGAGCAGAATGCAGTAGGATCATGAGGAGATGCTGGAGGATTCTACCCGAGTGGCATGGGCTTTCGGAATTCACCTTTGTGGGGAACTACTATCACATCTTTCAACAAAGGTTTATTCCGAATGCTGTGTAGCGTTTACAGGTTGCTTGTATATGTAGACATAATACTTTTGAGCATAAGTTTCTTTCTTGGACCAACACTCTGAATTTGGAAAGCAATAGATTTTTTTCCCCCCTTATGGAATATTTGGGCTCAGAATCATGGAAATGATTTTAAATACATGAGAATGGAAGTTAAAACTTAAAGCCAAAGTTTGCCCCTTGATAATAAAATTAGGCAAAATAAATGCAATCAGGCTTTTGAAGTGGACCCTACCTTGAACAATATAACAGCATTGTCGTAACCCTCCCAGGCTATTGTCAGGTCCCTACAAAGCTCACTGAGTGGCTGATCTATGATCTCTGGGTGAGACCAGTGGGCCTGAGGGAAAGGGAGGCATGTTACCTGTTGAAGGGAAAGGATCTCACCTGGTCAGTTTACCTGAGCACCAATTTTAAGACCTTCAAACTGTTTTCTCATTGGTTGTTTGAGTCTCTCCTCTAATAGCAAGAAAGGAGACTGTCTGGATGCTGGTGAAATTCTAGCCACTAAAACAGATGCATGCCTCCTCCTCCACTGTAATTTACTGGTTTGTATAGTCTCAGAACACAGAAAATGATATGAGTGAGTCATCTCAATTCTCCCAGCGACAATGCATGGTGCATGCTTAGTACCATTCTAAATGCCTGGAGAGAAGTTAATTCATTACATACAGCGGGTGCCTTGAGGCATCTTATGATACTTGGGATCAGAAAGACTCAGCCCTCAGAGATGAAGCAAACTCTATGACCTGACAGAATCACTTTGTAGAAGTGCTGAGAAAAGTCTGCACTGAGGCTGCCGCCCTGTTGAGTTGGGTCTGGACAGCGACTGGCTTTTCTAGGCCTCGCCTCCTCTTGGAATCCTCCTCACTGTGGTACTGCATGGAGCCCTAGTGGCACAGCAGTTATGTGTTTGACTGCTAACCAGTATGTTGGTGGTTCGAACCCATTGGCTGTTCATGAGAGAACAATGAGGCAGCCTCTCCCTGGAAAGATTTACAGCCTTCAAAACCCTGTGTTAAGTGCCATCGAGTTGAGTACACTTCATAACAACCCTATGAACAGCGAATCTGAATCTTGTCCTGTTCTAGCCATCACCATCATCTCTGATACACTTGAACCCCCTGCTGTGTCTGAGTCAGTCTGTCTCGTTGAGGGTCGCCCTCTCTTTCGTTGACCTTCCACCTTTCCAAGCATGAAGTCCCCCTCCAAGCAACAGCCTCTCTTAACGACATGTGACATGCCCAAAGTCCGTGAGATGAAGGGCACCTCTGTTCTGGTCAGTAGGGTTGCGGAGAGTCTGGATGGACTTGACAGCAGTGGTGAATGATGACTGTAGCATTAATCTCAGCCCCATGCTTTCCTAAGCACTGACAGCCTCACAGTGTCCCAAGGGTATCCATTAGCATTCTAGAACATTCCCTCCCCTAAACATCCTCAAGTTTACAACTGCCTCTGCCACCGGAAGTCCTTTCCCTCACAGAACGCTTTCTCATGAGAGGAGCTGGGATGGGCCCTCAGCCAAGCGGTCAGCTGCTCCACCACCGCTGTCATCCCCACCCCAGCCTCGTCATTTGTCCCATTCAGACGTTTGCTCTGGCAAAATCCTAAATGACTGTGTCCTTCTGAGGATACTTGGAAACATGCAAAACAACTAGGAGAGTGAATGAATTCAGAGAGTCCCAGGGGTCAGGTAAACAGCGTCATGGAATGTAAATGGATTCCCTGTTGTTCCTTTAGAAATTATTCAAGCGTCAAGTCCTTGCTTGATGCTTTACTTTGGTCCCACCCATCCTCACCCCCCACGTCTCTGCACCTGTGGGTGCTCAGGTGCTTTCTGAGCCCCGGGGAAAGGACAACCTGTCTGCTCATCCCATATGACCAAGCACGGAAGCTTATTTTTCTTTTCCTTTGCTTCCAGACCACATTTAATGTCACCACCAAGAAGACCTCTCTGGATATATCTCTGCCTGGTGGGAAGAGTGTTAAAATCGAAATTCTAACATCAGACACCGCTGAAACAGTCCTGGAGGTAAACTTCAAGTGCCAGCAGCTGCTGGACTGAAAGTAGGACTAATTCCATTCCAAAGCAGGGGCTCCTGGGCAGGATTATCTTGTGGACCCTTCCCACCTTTTGTTTTACTAGTTAGGTGACTTGTCTAAGAGACGCTAGCATTTTCCAGAGATCCACTGAAGAATCTGGGATGTAATCACTCCTCCATGTGCTCTCTGTTTGTGTTCTCCATGTAGATATTATTAGTTTTGTGGAGATTTCAAAAGTCTTTCGAAAGGCTGTTATTTCCCTGGAACTCAGCTCGGAATGTGCCCTGAGAATACGCAGAATGCTTTATTATGGGATGTCCTGTGGTGGGGAGCAGGCAGGAAAGTGGAGCCCAGCTGGGACTGATACAAAGTCATACTGAGGTTACAGGACCGGGGACACTTGCTTAGAGATCAGTGAAGAGCGTTTTCTCCAGAGTTGAACGGGTTGTCCTCTGCCCCAGCAGAGAGAACCTTGGAAATGACCATTAGTCTCCTACTGTCCAGAGGGGATACTGCCCTCTCACATCTGCATACTGCTCCCCAAGGCCAGCTCCTGGGTCTTCTTCCTGGGGAGGATTCTAATTCCAATCCTCCAGAGAAACATATGAGTGGGAATAAAAAGTTATAAACAAGAGGAAGTTGGAAAGTTTCTAGGATCTTGGAAAGGACAGAAGGTCCTTGCTGTGCTCGGGTTATGGTATCTGACCTCTGCTTCCCCTCAGCCAATTCTCCTTCTTAATAGACTCTTTAAGGCAACTCTGGTGGCCTAATAATGCTAAGAAACTGTGCTGTAATCCCAAAGGCACGCGGTTCAAATCCACCTGCTGCTTCATGGTAGAAAGATGGACAGTCTCCTCCCAGGTGATTAATTGCCTCTGAAAACCCAGAGGGTCAGCTGTGGGTTGGTTCCAAGCGACAATAAACAACAACAACAACAACTTTAAGGACCAAGGGGCTCTGTTGGCTTAGTGTGTGGCTAATTGCTCTGCTAACCCAAAGACTTCTCACTTCCAGGGGTTCAATCCATCAGTGGCTCCTCAGGAGAAAGAGGGGCAGTCCCTGCTCTTTGAGATTTGCAGCCTGGGAAACCCAATGCAGGGCTGCTTTGAGACAGAATCAGTGCAACGGCAGGGATTTGTGTTGGTTGGTTTTTACCCCCCTTAAGGACCAGTAACACACGAAAATCTCATTTTCGTATTTTCTATATAGTGTAATTTTATTGGTGATGTCTGTGTTTTGAAGCACTTTGACTGACAGAGAAAAAATTACCCTGTTTCTTTTATTACCAGTGCCTATTCTTCTCTAACGATGTTTGCGTTTATGTCTTTATAAATTATAAAAGTATTATCCACACTTTCCCCTCCTCACATCTTCCCCCTTTAATCTTTTCTATTGATATTGGCCTTAGCCTATTAGCTGTTTTCACTAAATAAACTAGTGAAGATGTTGTGCTTAGGTGCCCTTGAGTCACCTCAGCTCATAGCAGCTCTGTGAGTCATAGATGAACATCTTGCCCTATTCTGTGCTGTCCCACCATCTTCACCAGGTTCAGCCTCTCCAGGGAAAATACTGGTGATGGTTGCACCACGTGGTGAACGTAATTAAAGTAACTGAATTTGACACTTGAAAAAAATGACATAAAGAAGAAAACAATTGTCACATATATTTGTTGTTGTTTTATTGTTGTTATGTGCCTGCAAGTCACCTGCAACTCATAGCGACCCTATGTACGACAGCTCTGAACCCTGCTCTATCCTGAGCCAACTTTATTGTCTCTGACACACGCACCCCCATTATCCCAGTCTCTGAGTAAGTCCATCTCATCAAGGGGCTTTCTCTCTTGCACTGTCTTTCCAGCCTCCCAAGAAAAATGTCCCTTTCCAAGGACTGGTCCCTCCTGTCTATGCACCTAAAGTATGTCAGATGGAGCTTCAGAATCCTTGCCTCCAAGGAGCAGCCTGGTTTCACCCTCTTCAGGCCGAACTTGTTTATTCTAGCAGTCCATGGTTTATTCAATACTCCAGCACCACAACTCAGAGGCATCAATTATGCTTCTATCATCCATAGTCATTGTCCAGCTTTCTGATACATAGCACATAATTGTGAAGAGCATGGCCAGGATCGGGTGCACCTTAGTCTCCAGACTGACATCATTGCTCTTCAGTACTCTGCAAATGTCCCTAACAGCAAACTTTCTCAATACAATTCATTTTTTGATTTCCTGGCTGCTGGTACCAAGAGTACTGCTTATAGAGCCAAGCAAATGAAAACTGTTAACAGCCTCAACCTCTTCACCATCCATCATGATGCTGCCTATCTGCCCAGTGGTGAGAATCTTTGTTTTCTTAATGTTGAGCTTCAGTCCACATTGAAGGCTGCATTTCTTGATCTTCTGAAGCAAGTGCTTCAGATCCTCCTCAGTTTTAGCAAGCAAGGTTGTATCATCTGCATAACACAGGCTGTTGAAGAGGTTTCCTCCAATCCTGATGCCACATTTCTCCTCATGGAGCCCAGCCTCCTGAATGATCTGTTCTGCATATATATTGAGAAGGTATGGAGATAGGACACATTCCTGGCATACAATCTTCCCGATATTAAACCATGCAGTGTTTCTTTGCTCTGTTCTGACGACTGCCTCCTGGTCCAAGTATAGGTTTCACAATCAGTTACTCTGGGATTTCAATTCTTCTCAGAGTCAGCCACAGTTTGTTGTGATCTACACAGTCAAAATGAAAATTTGTTGCATATGTTTACCAAATAAAAATTAAAATAAAAATTGGACTCTTAGAGAATCCAATAAAAAGGAAATTGACTTGCCTTCAGCTCAATTCCAGTTTATGGAGACTCCATTGAGTTTCCAAAGTGCATCTTAACAGGACGAGACTGCTCATCTTTCTCCCGAGGAGCAACTGGTGGATTTGAACATCTGAAGACTTGTACCTTTTTGTTAGCAGCACAGCATCCAATAGTCTAGGCCACCAGAGTATCTTAAAGGTAAAAGAAAAGAAAAATAGCAGGTCCTTCCATGTTGTAGAGGTGAATTAAGAGAAAGTGTGAAGAAAGAACATAAGGATTTTAAGGAGCTGTTGGAGCTGACGGGGATGGTTTGTGGTACTGTGGGAAGACTCTACTAAAGGAAGATTTGAAATGAAACCAAAACCATGGTGTGAAAAAGGAAGACTCATTAGTGTAAAGGTGAGAGGAGAATGTAAAAGGAGAGCAACCCCTTCTGGGGATGTGAGGTTTGCCCTGAGGGACCGCCGTAGTAGATTAGACCTGAGGTTGTTGGTAATTCAGTGGTAGAAGTCTCTCCTTCCGTGTGGTAGACCCAGGTTCAATTCCTGGCCGCAGCTCCTCATTTTCGCCACCACCTGCCTTTCAGTGAAGGCTTGTGTGTTGCTATGATACAAAAAAGCTTTCCATGGAGATTCCAGACTAAGACCTTGAAGAAAGACCTTGATTTCTACTTAGAGCAATCAGCCAGAGGATCACAACAGTCCAAGTACAATCAGTCATGATGACGATGGTGCTGGGCCAAGCAGCGTTAGGTTGTTGCATAGGGTGTGGAGTTAGCCAGGAGCTGCTTCAATGGCAGTGAATAACACCAGCAGATTAGATTTGACCATCACGGGAAACATCAGAGTGAAGCCGACTTGGGTGTCAGAGCCAGACAGTGGCCCATAACCTTTTTTGTATGGCAGCCAGGCAGGGGAAGGGACACCCTGACGTTCCTTTTCTGAGATCTGGGAGGACAGCACGTGTTCATGGAGCATAACTGCTGCCCTCTAGTGGACAGTAAAGCCCCAAATGACCACAGGCTTGGGGCCAGGCCACAGACAAGATGAGACAGACAATGCAGCTAAGACTGGTCATGTCCACGACAGTGGGGCTGATTGTTCTCTTCTTCACTCTGTTTCTTTTTTTATTTCTAAAATTTTCTAAAATGATTGGCGCCATTTTCATATTCAGAACCAGGGTATTTTTCATGTTCGTTGGGCCATGGTAACACTGCTTACAGATGTTTAAAGGCAATGGCTAATTTTGTATTTCACAATTAGTAAACATGGTGGACACTCCTAGTGCTTTTCACCATTTTCCCGTCTCTCATTGAAGGCGGTGTCACACAGGATTGGACTGTGCCGGGAGCTCTTGGACTACTTCGGCCTGTTTCTTGTTCGCTTACACAAGGAGGGCACATTTTCTGGTAAGAGGGAGAAAAATGCCTGTGAACCAGGAGATGGGTGGGCAGGTGTGAGCAGGGATTCTGCCTGGGAGATGTCACAGGTAGGTGGGGGTGCTGGTTACCCAACATCCTCAAGGCTGTTTCCCAGTGTAGGGCCTTTATTTCTGCCTTGGGCCTGGATGAAAGGATTGGAGAATGATGAGGGTGTCTCTGTGGTGGGTGAGCTGCCCTGAGAATAGCAAGGTGGTGAGGGCTGAGACACAACCTGGTCAGGAGCAAGATGACTGTCCTGTCCTGTCCTGCTGCTTCACTTCCTCTTGTTCCTCCCCAGTCCCACTCTCTCCCTGCCTCACCATTCCGCCCTGATTCTATGCCCCCCTCACAGCTGCCTTGTGAACTGTGACCAACTCCAGCTCACAGCAACATCCTTTCTGAGAGTAATTTCTTTTCATCATAGAAGGTGTGGATAATATAAATAAGTTTCTGTTGTTGTTTGTGTTGTTATGTGCCATCAAATCAGCTACAACTGAAAGCCACCCTATGCACAATTGAACCCTGTTCTACCCTGAGCCAATCTCGCTGTCTCTGACACACCTACCCTCAGTGCCCCAATTACTGAGTCAATCCATCTCATCCAGGGTCTTCCTCTCCTATGCTGGCCCTTGACCCTCCCAAGCATGATATTCTTCTCCAAAGACTGATCACTTCTCCAAAGACTTACCCAAAGTATGTGAGATATATTATCCTTGCCTCCAAGGAGCAGCTTGGTTTCACTCTCTCCAGGACAGACCTCTTGGCAGTTAGATCGCTTGACAGTCCATGGTATGTTTAAGACTCTTCTCCAGTACCACAACTCAAAGGCTTCAATTCTTCTGCTGTCAGCTCAGTGATGCAAAACAAGTAATTGTGAAGACCATGGCCTGGATCAGGCACACCTTAGTCTCTAGACTTGCTCATCGAAACTCTGGAGATATTCCTAGATCCTTCTTATTATCTAAAAATGTATAAAGAGGGGAAGGAGCCCTGGTGGTACAATGGTTAAGTGCTTAACTGTGAACCAGAAGTTGGCTGTTCAAGGCCATCCATTGGCTCCATGAGAGAAAGACCTGGAAATCTGTTCCTGTAAAGGTTACAACCTAAAAACTCTATGGGAGAAAAGACATTTATGGTAAGTGACCACTGTTATAAAAAGCTAAGGAAAGGTTTACATATAGATAGAATCAATCATGGAGGGGTATCAACAATATGGAGAAAGGGAGAGGGGAGTAAAAAGTAATAAGTAAGGTGAAAAGTAAGGCAAACTCAAGAAGGGGTAGATTTAAGAACAAACAAAACCTCATTACTGACTCATAGCTGACTCGCCAGCAGGTTTTCTGAGACTATAAACTTCTGGGAAAGAGATTGCCCATCCTTCTCCCATACAGCTCTTGGTGGATTTGAACCACTTGAGAGGTGCTACCTAAAGAGTGCAGCACAACTACCTACAAACTAAATAAGTTTAAAAATAAAGAAGTGGAATAAAAAAGAGAAACGGAAGTCCTGTAGGGAAGTTCTGTCTCACGGAATCACTATGAGTTGAAACTGCTTTGATGGTACCCACAACAAAACAACATCATGAGTGGTACAAAATGACAATTTGATTCTGATAGCTCCGGATTTACTCTTTAATGCTTTTTGGATATTTGAAAGGTTTTAGTTATAAAATAGTGTCAACCATCTTAAAATAGTTTACTATGTCTTCAAGAAGCTGTGAGAGGTGTTTGAGTCAGGAGTTAAGGTGTTAGGACCTCGGTTCTATAGCTAAGAGCTGTAATAGCCAAGTAAAGTGCCTGGGGCCCCTCTGGACCTCAGTTTCTTCATTGACATCACAATATAAAACATATTTCTTACTCAAGCCAGGTATTTTATGGGAATTAAATGATGTTTAATTTTTAATAAACTTCAGGAAATGAAATTTCATGCAAAACGAAGAAAATGCTTTCAATATTATTTTTTATTTCATATTTGTAATGTTTTCTTTTCCTGTTTCAAGCTTTGTATGTAAACTGTTATAGACACCATTGCAGACATATAAATTACTATTCTGAATGTAAACCACTGAGACTCTTTCTGCCCCTTTTTTTAGTTATGAAAAAAATGGCAGACTTTGAACTCCCCTATGTTAGCCTTCAGAGTCCTGAAGTGAAAGGCTGCAAGGTTGGACTCAGAAAGTGGTGAGTAGGCATTTAATGTAACATTGCTGGAAGTTTCTGGGTGGTATAAACCGTGAACTCATTCAGCTGCAAAGTGAAAGGTGGGAAAGGCACCATGAGTCAGAAATGGGTAAGAACACCTGATTTCCACCCTAGTCTGGAGGAGAGGTTACTGGAGCAGCTCAGAAAGGAGATGGGGCAGCCTGGGTACCAAGCAGTGAGTGTGGAGATGGTATAAGGCAGAGGAATAAGCTGCATATTATGTGGGCTGAGGAAAGAGAATCACTGACATTTGACCTAGCGTGAGAACTGAATGTGAACAGGGGGCCATATGATTCCCCTAAAGCTTTTATTATTGTGACTATTATTTTACATCTTTTCTCCCAGGGTCCACCAGATTAGGTATTATAGAGAAGCCAAGTGAAGTAGAAGGATAAACTGAAGGCTAGGCAAGAGTCAGTGTGGAAACTAAGGTTTGCCTGATCCAGGCCATGGTCTTTGCAATTACTTGCTGTGTATCAGGAAGCTGGAAGTGACTAAGGATGATAGAAGAATTGACGCCTTTGAGCTGTGGTCCTGGGTGAAGAGTATTGAATATGCCATGGACTGCTAGGAGAACAAACAGGTTCATCCTGGAGAGAATGAAACAAGGCTGCTCACTGGAGGCAAGGATTTTGAAGCTCTATCTAACTTACTTAGGGCATGTTGTAAGGAGGGACCCATTGTTGGAATGGGACATCATTCTTGGGAGGCTGCAGGACAGCACAAGAGAGGAAGATCCTGGATAAGATGGATTGACTCAGTGACGGGGGTAATAGGAGTAGGTGTGTCAGAGACAGTGAAGTTGGCTCAGGATAGAGCAGGGTTCAGAGCTGTTGTACAGAGAGTCGTTGCAAGTCACAAGTCACTCGACAGCACATAACAACAACAAGCAAGCGTGGGGACGTGGCTTTGTCAGGATAAGGGATTTTAGTTCCTAGGGTCAATAACTTCCAGGTGGGCCTGGTTAGAAATGGCGATACCTATGATCCACACTTCGTGAATTAACTGCTGAAGTATGCATAACATTTCGCTTGTGCCATGAATGAATGAATCCCTGAGTAATGCAGGTACCTGGATCCGTCCCTGGACTCTGTACTCATGGACTGCCGAGTGGCTGCAGAGCTCGTGTACCTGCAGGTGAGACGACCAAGAATGGTCAGAATTGTAGGATAGTTCGAATTACACTTGAAGTAACTTGGGTTCAAAATCGTTCTCATCATTGTTATTATTTTAGCAGTTAGGTATTTCACCTCCATTTTAATGCTCTCTGACTTCGCAGTTAGCACTTAAACATTTTTAGACACAGTGAAGATAACTTGATAATTTAAAGTCACCGTCCCCGTTAAAGCCCATTGCTGTTAAGTCTATTAGATTCACATTGTTGTCGTTGTCAGGTGCCATTGAGCCGAGTATGACTCAGAGTGTGTCATCCTCACGGACTGGAGCCCATTGCCATAGTCACTGTGTCAGTCCACCTGGTTGAGGATCTTCCTCTCCTTCGCCATCCCTCCTCCTTTCCAAGTGGGATGTCCTTCTCCAAGGAATAGCCTCTCTCTGTTATTGCTGTTGTTAGGTGCCATTGAATCTGAACCAACTCATAGTTGACCTGACCCCCCAGCAGCTCTTCAGAGGTGCCGTAAGCCACACGAGAAGAGACTGCCCATCTTGCTCCTTCAGAGCAGCTGGTGAATTTGAATCTCATGCCTCAGCTCTGGCACTACAACTCCTTACGGCTGAGCCACCAGAGCCCCCTTCTAGATTCATAGCAACCCTACAGAACTGCTCCATCGAGATTCTAAAGCAGTAATGCAGATCCTGCAGCTCTCTCTCACAGAGTGAATAGAGGGTTCAAACTGCCAGCCTTTTGGTTAAGAGCTGAGCGTTTAACCACTTCACCATCACAGCTCCTTTGAAGTCACATCCGGTCTCAGAATCTCATTCAGCAAAACTTTCTTTTTCTCTGAGCCAGCAAGTAGCATACCTGCCCCAGAGCCGTCCTCATAGGTGCACCACTCTGCAGTCGCTCAGGGCCACACGCTCAGAAGGACCTTGTACTCAGGTTCATGCTCCGCCACGCCATCTTGAAATGCCTCATAACTTTTGAACAAAGAGCCCACAATTTCATTTTGCACTGCGCCCCGCAAATTAGGTACTTGATCCTGCCTTCTACCCTCCCTCTCCAAAATGAAATTTTCCTCTCTCTGAGTCTGGTGGTGAAGGTTTGACGAAGCAGTGAAATGGTGTAGATGCTGCATTTTTCTACACCACCTCATTCCCCAGCCCCCATCCCAGCTGCCCACCAGTGTCCACTCTCACCAAGGTAACATCTTTTGCATCTGATTTTCTCCAAGACCTCCCTTGACAATTCCATGATAATGTCCCATATTTTTTTTCTGGAGGAGGGAGGGGTAGATCGTATCCTTCTTCCTTTTAAACTTTTTCTAGTAAAGTGCTCAGCTGATAACCAAAAGGTCAGCTGTTCAAATCCACTAGCCCCTCTACAGGAGAATTTTGTGTGACAGCATGCCTCTGGAAAGAGAGCTCTGATAGTATGGTCCTTGGGTGGGGGTGGGGGGGTTACCAACCCAGAGACCAAGGTTCAAATCCACAAGAGAAAAATGGGCAATCTCCTGCTATGCAATTTACAGCTTCTGAAAGCCCACCATAGTCAGCTATGAGTCCATTAAGAGCAAAGAGTGATAAGTTGCTTCCTGGAAGATTATAGTCTTGGAAACCCTGTCAGGCAGTTCTACTCTGTCCTCAGGCCTGCTGTGAGGTGCTGACTCAGTGTTAGCAAGGTCTTTGTTGGGGTCTGCATTTCACTTCACTCAGATGAAACACAAATCCTGATACACCTGCTTTACTTCCTCTGTAGCATTTCAGTCTTCTAATGGTTGTTACTAGGTGCTGTTGAGTACAACTCAGAGTGACCCTAAGAACAGTAGATTTGAACCTTGTCCTTTCCTGCGCCTTCCTCTGACACTCTTGAACCCACTGCTGCAGTCACTGCATCAGTCCTCCTGGTTGAGGGTCTTCCTCTCCTTCGCTGTCCCTCCGCCTTTCCAATCATGATGCCCTTCTCCAAGGAAGAACCTCTCCTAGCAACATGCCCCAGAGGAGGCAAGGATGGTAAAGCTCCATCTCACGTATTTGGGGCATGTCTCACAGAAGGTTTCAGCCTAGAAAACTGTGGAGGCAGTTCTGTCCTGTCATATGGATTCAGTCTGAGTAGAAATTGACTTAATGTCACCCAGCGACAAGAACATAGAGACATCAACAGTAGTAAACAAGTAAGAACGTGTGTATGGATAGGTATACTCAAATGGTTACATTTTTTTCTCCAAAAAATTATTGAAATTCCATTTTTTTATAAGTGTGTTTACTGGAAAAAAAACAACAACAAACAAAACACTGATCCTGGATCAGTGATCACATATAAAGGGCAAAGTAAACTTTCAAGGAACTAATTTTCTCATCACTTTAGAGAAGCTAGTGGGTCACTAGCCTGATGCCACAGTGCTCTCAGGGATCCTTAAGATTCCTCTCTCCATTCCACGAACGTTCATGAAGCTTTTCTGGTGGAAGCTGTACAGTAGGCATTGTCACAAAACCTGCACTTCTCCAAATAGGAATTTCTCATCCACATTCTTATGAATTTATTTACTTACTGTCTCTCTTCTCTACTTGGTTGATTTCTCCACTGTTCTGTGCTCAGAAATTAGAACTGTTCTTGGTACCACATTGGCATGAAAGTCATGTGGAGGATCCATGTTGAACTGATTGTTTTAAATGTATTGTTTATGGAAGCTTGGTAATAACACAGTAAGGAAGTTAGTACTATATACATGTTGTTGCTCTGTGCTGTTGAGTTGCCTATAACTCATAGCAACCCTCCGTGCAACAGTTCTGAACACTTCCCTGGCCTGAATCAGTCTCACTGACTCTGACATACCTACCCCCATTGCCCCAGTCACTGTATCAATCCGTCTCATCCAGGGTCTTCTCCTGTGCTGTCCCTCCACCCTTCTAAGTATGAGGTCCATCTCCAAAGACTGGTCCCTCTTGGCCACAAGCCCAAAGTATATAAGACAGAGCTGCAAAATCCTAGCCTCCAAGGAAAAACTTGGTTTTACTCTCTCCAAGTCAGACTTGTTTGTTCTCTTAGTAGGTTCATGGTATGTTCAAGACATTTATCCAGGACCATATCTCAAAGGCATCAGTTCTCCTGTCATCCTTAGTCATTGTCCAGCTCTCTGATGCACAACATGTAATTGCAAAGACCATGGCGTGGATCAGGTGTACCTTAGTTTCTGGACTGACGTTTTTGCTTCTCAGTACTCTGGAGAGGTCCCTGACTGCAGATTTCTCCAGTACAATTCTTCTTTTGAATTCTTGACTGCTGATATTACTAAGAGTGTTGATTGTGGAGCATGCAAGCTGAAATTGTTAAGAACCTCAATCTCTTCACCATCTATTATGGTGCTGCCAGTTGACCCAGTGATGAGAATCTTTGTCCTCTTGATGTTGAGCTTCAATCCATAGAGAAAACTACATAGAGTTCTTGACTTTCTGTAACAAGCATTTTGGCTTCTTCTCAGTTTCAAATATCCACTGTAGAAGAGAAAAAGCATGTTGTAAGCAAACCAATATAAAATCTTTTTTTTTCTTAAAAAGGAAAACCGTGATGTTTGCTGTCAAGAGATTGTGTAGGCAGCTTACATTACTGTTGTTGTTGTGTGCTGTCAAGTCCATTTGGACTCACGGGGAACCTGCAGGACAGAGCAGGCTGCTGCCACGATGGCAGTGGATTGCCAGGCCCTTTCTCTCAGGGAGTGGGCTCTGGTGACTAGTCTGGAGGGAGCTACATTGCAAGCTTATAGGTCATGCTTCTTTGATTGCTCCAACCACCTCGACACTCCTGGGGAAAAGATGGGCAGTCTCCTCCCACTCAGCGGACAACCTCTGATAACTGGCTAGAGGGTCAACTTTGAATTGATTCTGATTTCATGGCAGTAAGAGTTTGGTTTTGTTTTCTCCCTGGGAGTCTTTGGTGGTTTTAAACCGCCGACCTCAGGGTGAACAGCCATGTACCTAAGCACCACACCACTCGCATTCTTCCTGTGTCATGAGAGGAGGTTCGAAAAGGCTTAGCAATTCTCATTTGATATCCTTGTTGTTACCTACTGTGAGGTTAGTTGGTACTCAACTCATGATAGTGCCATGATCCTCAGACACAATAGTTCCCAGTCCTGTGCCATCCCATGACTGATCATAGATTACACTCATCATCTGTGAGGTTTTCACTGGCTGATTTTAGGAAGTAGATTGCCAGGTCTTTCTTCCTCCTTTATCTTAGCCTGGAAGCTCCACTGAGACCTGTTCCACAGCATTGCAACATACATGTCTCCATGGACAGACGGTGTGACCACACAAAAGGTGTGTTGGCTAGGAATCAATTCCAAATTTCCTGCGTTGTTGTTGTTAAGTACCACAGAATAGGAATTGACCCATAGCTGACCCTCCAGTGGGGTTTCAGAGGTAGTTAATCACATGGGAGCAGATTGTCTATCCTTCTCCCGTGGAACAGCTTGTGGATTTGAACCAAGTCCCTTTAGGTTGGCAGTGCTGTTCCTTACCACAAAGCCACCAGAGCTCCCTGGTCTCCTGCATTTTAGAAGGTGGAATTCTGCTACTGAACCACCACATCCCCCCTGTTGTTGTTGTCGTCATGTACTGTTGAGTCAGGATCAGCCCATAGTTGACACTCCAGCAGGATTTCAGAGGCAGTAAATCACACAGGAGATTGCCCATCTTTCTCCTGTGGAGTAGCTGGTGGCGTCAAACCATGTGCCTTTGTGTTGGCAGTGCAGTTCCTTACCAGTAAGCCACCAGAACTCTCTACTACTTCTATCGTACTTTGGTATAGGTGGCTTTTATTTAGCGTGATTCTCAGTGGCTGTACACCACCACTTTTCCTAAACTAAAGAGGGAGAATTGAAGATGAGAGGAGAAATGATGAGTCCGTCATTACTTTTAATATGCTTTTGAAGGAGAAAAAAAAACATTACTAGAGCCTACAGTAATACTTTGGGTTTAACATGAAAGGTCAGTGGAATAATTTGAATGTTTCAGCTTGC